GATTAACGAAACAACCCTTAAAAATTTAAAATTATAAAATAATAAAAATTTGCCAAAAGTTTATTTTAGATTAATTTTATTATTTTTTTTAATATAATTGAGACTGTGGTAAAGGATTTATTTCGACTAGCTAAATGTAATCGAGAACAGGAATTATATTGTATGTTCTCGTCCCCGTCCTCGACACCATGCCACTCTATCTCATTTTTATATAAAAATATAAATATCTAATATTTTATTGTGTGCACGTGCGCATATGTGTACATACTACTTTATAAATAAATATGGGATAGATTAGGTTGAAATATTAAAATTTTAATTTTTATAAATTATGTTTTTTCGCGTATGAATTATTGTTAAATTTATTTTGATGTTTTATATTTTATGATGGGTGGAAAAATAATAATTATTATGATTGTGAAATGACTCAAAACCACCCATTTACTAAAAATATTGAAATAATAATTATTATGATTTCTATGAATAAACTTTATTTCCTTGTAAATTATTAATCATGGTTCATTATTTCCAACTAAATTACCTAAAAAATTAGGAGACACTCTACCAAATGCACTAATAATTTAGATTCTTTTTTAAAAAAACAAGACAATCATGATATGTCGAAAAAAAAAAAAACATAATGTTGTCCCTTTATATAGTTTTCATTTTTCTATAAATAAATAATATAAATGTTTGTAGAGGGTAATTTTGGTATTAATCAAACACGAAATTGGCTCTGCGCTCGAGTGGTCTTTATTTATGGCATATGACTATTGAAAAAAAGAAAAGTGCTTCCCATTTACATTCAATAAAATAATAAATTTGAAAATTTACTAAAAAAAGGACGGGGTTTACTTGACAAAGAGAAGTCAGTAAGGTTAGAGAACGATGTTTAGTCTTTTGAGCTCTTGCGTTTAGAATTTTAGATTGTTTCGAGATATTTGATTAAGTTCAAAATTACCTTTAACGTTAGTAAATAACGATATTTAGTCTAAAATTTACGGACTATAAATCTTCATGTCACTGGTTCAAATTTGCTATGAAAATAAGGATAATGTCGAAAATGAAATGGTTAGTTTTGCTCAATTGGTAGAGCAGAGGATTGAAAATCTTCGTGACATCGGTTCAAATTTGCTTTGAAAATAAAGATAATGTGTCGGAAATGGTCAGTATTGCTCCATTGGTAGAGTAGAGGACTGAAAATCTTCGTGATACCGGTTCAAATTTAATATAAAAATAAAAACAACGTGTCGAAAATGGCCAATATCTCTTAGTTGGTAGAGTAGAGGACTAAAAATCTTCGTGTCACCGATTTACCATGGTGATGATCGAAAAAAAACCTAATAATGAAAAATCAAAGTTTAGTGAAGAGGAAGCAATATTGTGCTTAAAGTTGAAGGCAAAGCTATTAACACAAATAAATAAGTAAATAAAAAAGTAATAAATAAAAAAAATAAAAAAAATAAAAAGATAAGTAATAAATAAATAAATAAGTAAAAAATAAATTTGGAGGAGTGAATTGCATGTGAGGAGCCCTTGGGCCTACGTGGACTAAATGGGCCCGCCTACGTTAGCTTTGGGTCCCACCAGATTCTTTTTACTCTTTGATTTTGGGCAAAACACTAATTATTATTATTATTATAAGTTGAAATATGAGAATGTAAATTTAATTGGAATTTCAATTACCTATAATTAATTAGCTTTTTTAAAATTATAAACTATATTTATATAAAGATAGTGATTTAAGAAAGATAATTTTAATGAAATATATTAATTACAAATTGGCTTTTATTAAAATAAAAATATTTTATTTAGGGTTGATTTGTAATAGTGAAAATTATTAAACTAATAATTAATAGAGACATTTATAGCCATTGTTTTTGTCATATAACATATTTATACTATATTGAAAAAAAAACATTTGTAGACTAAAATACCTTTTTTTATATATCAAAATATTTAAATTTAAGTTTGAATTCAAACCATAATAATAATTAAATAATTTAATTCAAAATGAATTTAATAATCATTTAATGGAAAATGTTACACCGTATTTAAAAGCACCGGTTTATGAAAAATATAAAATAGGCTGAAATATTCAATTAAATTTTAGTTTATTATATTTTAGATAAAAAAAAAACATCGATTTAGCTTTGAATTTAAACAAAGCTGATGAGTTAATTTGATTCTAAAAGAATTTAAAATTAAATTATCAATTCAATTTTATTAATCATTCAATTCAAACCTAATTCTTACACTTTAAAAAAGTATTCTAAAGAATATTTGATTGGTTGCACTATAATAAAAAAATCATTTTATTAATTATAAATTTATTCTAATTTTTTTAAATATATTTTTTATTAATCACATTAAAGTTATTTTTGAATAATCATATTATTTATTCCACAAAATATTTTCTAACCGATCCAATTTTTTAAGCACTCTTTATTTGCTATGTTTTTTTTTGTTAAAGCAATACTAATCAAATATAGTGTAAATTATTGATTTTTCTACGGTGTTTATAGAAAAATCAATTTTGTTTAAATTTTTGTTTTATTCGTAACTTATTTCAAATTCCATAGTTGTAAAATCCATGAACAATGCAAAAAATGCAAAATAAAAAAAAAGGAAAAAAAAAATTGATCAATATACATTGTCTTGACCATATAATATATTGTTATAAATAATTTATTAGACTTTAGCTTTATTTAATGTAAAATATACGAAAGTCATATTTAATATTGAAAAAAAAAATTAAAATATAATTACGATAGCGCTCTTCTATTTTAAATGTAACTCAAAAATAATTTGTATATATTTTTTTATTACTTCTTTCCTTAGCCTTAAAAATTTTGTGTGTAGCTTGCTATATGAATTAAAGAGTTATTATACTATTTATTTATAAAAGTCAACTTAACCTTATTTAAATTTTAAAGATATGTCTCCTCAACATTTATTTATATTTTTGTTAATTTTGAAGAAAATATTACTATTATTATTATTATTATTTTGTACTAGTATATTTTGTCAACTTTTTACAAAAACTTTACATGTTTTGGGTGCTTGCATGTAAATTAAGCAATAAGATTGACACGTTCATATTTATTCATCATATAATAATTTAGTATTGAGCAATTAGTAAAGCACGAGTCACATTGTACAACCTCACAATCATTTATGACTAAGATAGCATAAAATTAAATGCTATTGACATGTGAAAGAAAATAAATAATAAAATTTCTTCCCTCACGAGGTGTTAATATTATTAAGGATTTGATAAATATATTATTAATCTTTTACTATAAATATATTATTATATTTTGAGAAATTTATTCATTAAATTATAATTAATGCGAATGTACGTTAAATAACTTTAGCAAAATTTTCATGATAAAAAAAAAAAAAAAAAAAACTAATGGGCATATTAAAGTGCATTATTAATAATATTGACAAAAAGACACCTTATAAATTTTCAAAAGAAAAAAATGATTCTAAATATTATTAAGACAAACCATCCTTACAAGCAAAAGTTTTAATTTTTCATCCCTAGGTTGAAGACAATATATGTAAAATAAATAAATAAATAATAATTGAATTATTTATAGATGTCCATTAACATTTTATTGATAATTTGATCCTCACCAAACAATTGTTAAACTAGAATAAAAAAAATCTAATTCAATTTTAATATGTTAAATTATAGTTTCAATTATACCCTAAACTTTGAAATATTTCATTCTTACCCTCAAACTTTAACATTTATTCCAAAAAAAAAAAAAAATAAATAAAAAAACACAAATAATATATAAAACAATATTAACACATAAATAATATTATATAAAAATTGATATGTTTATTTAATTGATATGAAAATTGATTATATAAATAATATTAACACATATTTGCTGGCTACCATTTCATTTTTCATCTTTCATCATTTAAGGGTGAAATATATTCCAAAATCAAGAATATTTCATATAATTTCTTTTTTTAATTAACTAAATAGACGTAATAGTGCCAAAATTATTATTTGTTTCATTAGCAGACAGGGATGGAATCTCTGGAAGGTTTGGACTTGGAGGAAAGGGGGGGAAAAGTTCCAACTTCCAAGACCCATTCCACTCATGACTCGAGAAGAAAACTAGAAGTGGAGGCGAACAACGCTCACATGCCGTCCCCCCGACTTTATTTTATACCACATCGCCAAAATCACATTCCCAGTCTGCTTACTGCATGGTGCATATCTCTACACTTCTCTCAACCATATATACTATTTGGAATCACAATTTCTAATTCTACCGAAACCAAAATTTGAATATGGACAAGAATCGGAAGTTTATTATGAGTTGTAAAATGACCCGTGATTTTGAAACCATACACACCATTATGGTGCAGGAAACAGAGTATTATTGGTAAACCAGACATCCATGGTGGGACTTGGGGGGACTGGCAGACAACAATATCTGGTTAGTGGGCTATGTTAATTTCAGTGAAACGACTCAGAAGTGGGCACCTCTCCTGTCTGTAGGGCATGTGCTTCCCCAGAAGGAAAGAAAAGAAAAAAAAAGGTTGGTAATGGAGATCGTGTTAGGAACTACGACCCTCTATAATAGTATGATATTGTCCATTTTGACCATTAGCTCACGTGACTTTGTTTCTTATTTTTCCAAAAGACTTCAATAGAGATGTATTACTTATAAACTCATGATCAACCCCTTATCAACCGACGTGGGATTCCTCGACACTTCACTTATTCAAACCCCACCATTCCCAAACCCACGAAACAAAAGGGGAACAAATATCAACGGCTTTGCTTCTTTTCAAAGAAAAGCTAAAACTGGTCATGGCTGAACTTATTGTAATGTCCTACAAGAGAGCCTTCCCCAACAAAAAAAGAAAAGAAAAGAAAAAAGTATTGTAGTATTATGTCGAGATTCCAAAGTGGGAGGAGGAAGGGAAAAGAGGGATAATTCATAATGGGCAGCATGTAAAAGTGGGCATTCAACAGCAAGATAAAGTTCCAATTACCTAGAAGAAAGGCGCTTTTCCATCCTGATCGAGCTGAGACATCTTGCACCTGCAACGAAGGGTAGACAAGAGAAAAGGAAAAGGTTTGTGTGAAATCAAAAATCATTATAATAAAGTTTGTTTCAGCCTTCAAGTTATCTTGTTTGAGTGGATTTCATATGTAAAAAAATTGTAAGATAATTACTATTCAAGAACAACGAGCAGAGCGACTCCTAAGCATATTATCCATTAATATCTCCATGATATAGATACAAAAAATAGGAATAATGAAGGCTTCCTCCATCAATAAAAGAATGTGGTGCAACAATCCCAGTGAATCCTATTCGTCCAAGTCTCAATTTTAGTATCTTGAATCTATTCTTTCAATTACTAAGCAATTCTGAGTTGATTTAAAATGTTTTATTTCAGGCTCTAATATTTGTAGTGTATAAATGATAACCTTGATTATCAAATATTCTTATGGATATCAATCCCTAATTTTCCCACAAATTACTTATTACCCTATTTCCCTTCGTCTCTTTCTTCTTTTTCTCTAGTTTTATTTTATGTTCTCCTGCATCGATCAAATAGAACAAAAGATTGTGAGAAATCTTTAATTCTGAGTGATTTCTAGAAATATGTTAGCTACTGCTAGCATTGTTTTCTTTGGACTTAAAACATGTATAAAAAATGTTTCGTTCTCCTTCCCAATCACGTAGGATCTCTTGATCCACCCCCTTTCAGGGCCCAGCGTTCTTGTTGGCACACCATCTCGTGCCCACTCCCTTCGGGGCTCAGCCTCCTCACTGGCACATTACCCGGTGTCTGACTCTAATACCATTTGTAATAGTCCAAGCCCACCGCTAGCAAATATGGTCTTCTTGGGCTTTCCCTTTCAAAGTTCTCCTTAAGACTTTTAAAACGCGTTTGCTAGAGAGTGATTTTCACACTCTTATAAAAAATGTTTTATTCTCCTCTCCAACCGATGTGAGATCTGACACTGTAACTATATTATAATCCTCTACTGCGTATTAGAATGTTGGATTACTTGAGTGTGTATTGCCTAGTAGTTAATTCACTAAGCCTTTCCTACACTGTTCCCATGAATCAATAATTTTGGGAAAATAAAATGAGTGACCAGAACTGTATACATTCAAAATCATTGGGCAATGTAAGAGCAGAAATGTACCTTCAATTAATAATTATAGGATTGCAGTATTTTCTTTTCTGCCTTCTTGCTTTCCTTAAAATTCTATCAGTTTCTTTCTTGGCGTCTTCTATTGAATAGAAACGGACATCTTCTCCTAGCATTTGTCATGCACGTTAATATAAATAACATCAAACAAAATACTAATATTCAGCTTATAATCTAGCATATAGAAGTATTAACGCTGATTGATCTGAAAGCCAAATGAGGCACATCGAATAGTGCTAGCAAACCGAACAGTTGAAAATAAAATTTCATGCGAAAGGGTTCCCTAATTTTTTTTTTTTTTCCTACAACGGTTCCCTAATTTCCTTTTTCTATACATTACTGTTACAGGACCGCATTGTTTCTTGATCTTTTAGTATGTCCCGTTGTTTTTTCTCACTGAACTAAGTTTTTTTCGACACCCACCAATGTCTCTTATGAACCATGAATGCTCCTCTAAAGCTAACAGTATCAGTGTCCAATATCTATGGCAGACAGACTCGATTTCAACTCATGTTCCAACGCATCTAGAAAAAAACTCGGAAATGTCTCAATTATGTCGGACTGCCTAAATAAATGACCAATCTTTTCCTCTTTTTTAGCATAGAATTCCAAAAATGAAACCGATATCGTCAGTTAGATCATTTTAGGATTGACTCAAATCTCATATCACCTACTCTACCAAACATCGGGATCTTGTCCTTCTAAAGAAAAGCTTCTAAGCACATGAATGAATAGAAATATATAAAGATCTCAGCAGAGGTCCATGTCTTAAAGAATATTTTAATAGGAACATGTTATTATTTCTTTGTTCCGTCTTGTCCATGTCTCAAAATAATTGCATACTACTCTATTTGCATGCAAAGAAGATATGGTTGGCAATTTTTAAATTTACACGACTTATATTATTTAGAAGTTTATTCTTTATTTCCAGGAATCACCTGTTTTCTTCTCTTCAATTAAGCAGGAGAAACTTCTTTCAATCTCCTCATCAGAATCAACAATAACTCTATATTCTCTTTCCAGCACCAGGCGCTGTTAATATTCAAGGAGAAATCTTTACCCGCTTCAATGAATAATAAGTTTAAATTTCGGATTCAATAATCAGGGAATAAGTTAATATTTGCTTTAAAAAGTACAATCATACAATTTCAGTAATATATGTAATGAGATGGCAGAAAAAATAATGAAACTCAAACCATTACCTGTTCAGAAAATGGAATTGCTTTCTTTGCATCTTCCTTTTTCACCACAGTACTAGTGCAAAACGTCTTTCCTACTTTTACTGATTTCCACCTTCCCAATTCCTCGGTTTGTACTGCAGTTGCTCGAATGCAAACATCAGGAGACGCAGATTGGCTGTTATCAAGTGGAAAAGGTAAGATCACTTACGATGCTAAAGAACAAAGGATCAATGCATATAATTCCGTAATTCATAATCAATCACGGTCACCAGAACATATTGTGGCTGCCATGGTTTTTCATGCCACATTAAGATAACATTACTGAAAAATGTGAAAACTTCTCTTTTACCGTATATCCACAAGCCAAATGATAGAAGTTAATCAAATATAGCACAGTAATTCCTTTGAGAACTTCCAGACTACAGTATACCAGAACCATAAAATATACAGGAATGAAATAAACCATCGAGCTTTTACAGGTCACTAAATGTCGTAGACTGCATGAAATTCTATTTTTGAGCAATAGAAGGACAAGATCAACTCCCACATTAGTATACATCAATTCAATCTTAAACCCATTGGCCATTATCAGTAATTCATTCATTTAAGATAGAATGGTAACTGTCTGAATATGAAATGCATGAATATACTAGGAATCAAGCCAATTATTAAGAAAACTGAGGTTCATTACATTTTACATCGACGACGCTTTTGCTGTGGGACATCCAAAGAAGCGGTACTCTGAGATTTACAATTAAAGACTTCCATGAGGAACAGTTGAGAATGAAACAAATGCTTAAAATATTTGACCGATATCTAATAAGAAACTGAACCTCAGGAGATTCAATAGGGCGATGAGGAAACTTCTGCAAGAGTTTTTTCAAGGTACAGACCATTGCCTACAAGTTATTGAAGAATAACCAATAAGTTACGTGACTGCAAAGTGGCATTTTGTTGAAATGTTAAAACAATCTAAGAACAAACATTTAGGCGGGGTACTTTTAAGAATGTATACATAATTTATAAACACCTCATCTCATCGAAATAGAGTTAGGGGGGGAATCCTTTTTATCGTGCATTTATAGCAGTACTTGATACGACATGCACTTACCTTCATTTCTTGGGTGAATATGCTGATGAAGTCATTTTTTAATTTCAGTTGAGATGCTTGTACTTGTTTTTCCAATGCAGAAAGAACATCAGAAATCTCATGTAGCCTATCTTGGTATGCATCCTTCTTAAGTTGATCGGATATCAGTTTGAAGCCTCCATCGAGGGTAGCTTTCATGTCATCGTGCTCTTTGTTCTGACATTGAACTTCGGAAAAATTAGACATTGTGATTAACAATAAACAAACTTAATGCTCAGTATAATATTGCATCGATCTATTTACCATGGATTGCAGCAAGCTACTGTTAACAATCACCTTTTGCCATATGCCTTCGACTGCAATTTTTTTAAAAAAATAAGCATATTGCTTGACAAAGCTTTTGGCCTTAAAGCAATGACTTTGAGGTCAGAATTACTTATTGATGCGGGCACTTTCCCTTTCACATTCTTAAATAGCAATTTTAATCCTACTTTATGAAGGAATTGAAATTCAAGTAAAGCATATTCATCACCTTATTCCTACTTGATAAACAAACACATCAGGTTTAAACGAAGGAAGTGTTTTTCAAGCTAGTAATACTAGTACATAGTTTCTCTTCGGATTTTACTTTTCAGCTTGAGAGATTACAAAGCTCACCATCCAGAGAAATCTGCTTCATTCCTTGGTTTAGATGCAGAATATCACCGTGAAGAGAATCCAGGATCTTTCCAAATTTGTTCAATGAGTTTTCTATAGTTCCAAGGCGGCGGTCAAGTTCTTCACCAACTTGACCTGAAAAGGAAAGCTAAAATTTATCACAAATGAAGGGACGATTATTATAAAGGTTGTACAGTTATACCATACTGTGAGATCAAACTTATTTAAATAGTTTGTGTCCATACTACAAGTCCAAGAGAGTGAACTTACACTTATAGTCCGGCAGTGGAGTTGATTTCCATCTTTGTGTTAAACTGGTTGAAGATTTAGAGAGTGGCAATTGGCATTCTTCTCTTGAATAACTTAGAGGAGGAAAAAAAGAATTCTTCTTAATTGAATTTTCTCGGTCTTGAGAGCTAAATCTCTGCCAAACAGAATGGTACGTCAAAGTTAAGTCATAAGAGATGAAAACAGAAAGAACACTACAATCATAAAACTCTATTTCAAGTTGATACGATGTCGTAGTCAGATCCTCATGGCATGAGAGACTAAGAGCATTCACCATGGCCCTCTTATATCTATAAAAAGGTAATATATAGAGAGAGATACATTTTGAGGTATTTGAACTGCCAAATTCAAGATATGACGTGGATATGACGAGTGTTTTCAGTAGTCCTATTATGTAACTGATTGTAGCAAGCTAGTTATTATAAAATTGTAAAATAAACGTAAGCTTAGGTGTAACTGAATAACCGAAACCTGCCAGCTCACTGAGTTCATCATGTCAGCCGACTTTTTGTTTCCGTTATGACTGGTAAAAAATCAGGTGTAGTTATGTGGTCAATCATTTTGCAAGGTAAGTAGGGTATGCGAAGTTATCGTGGCTATGATGTTTCCAAAGGGATTTTTTTTTTTCTTGGTTGAAAAATTCTTTTTTCCTTCATGATAAATAATTCCTCTTGGCTCTGCAATCACATAAAAGGCTAGACTGGTAGGAAAAAGGTTTTTAAAAAGGGATGGAGTAGACAAGGTCATCTCCTGAAATGGAACACAGTCCCATAAGGCTCCTATTTACAATTGTAATACCTGGTGACTTGAAGCTGGAACAACAAGAAGTGAAGATGGAATTTCATCATGGAAACGGAAATAATACAAAGACCTTGATGCATATTACTAAATTCTCCATAAAGAAAAATCGAAGGACTGATAAGGGGTAAACTATTTTTTTTTTTCAAAGATAGTGATCACGATGTAATATGCGAGAATTGAGAATTGAGAATTCCGAGAAGAAACAGTGATTGACCTGTTCATTTGTCACGACTTCATCAAAAGAGTTCTGAGAGAATTGAGAATTCGTGCCGTGCAGAGATGAGAGTCCCTGAGAAAAGGATTGTTGCGAAGGTTGTGATCGCAACTGTGGTGCTTGCTGCCCAGTGGTTAACGCATTTGACCTGCTAAAAACCATCAAAACCATTAATATTTTCATTTTATATTACATTAAAAAAAAAACTTCATGTTTTCCTTGAATATTTTGCGTTTCCTCTGGAACAGATACGAACATAATGACGTAAAACTGCAGAGATTGGATCGAGTTTGCACGACAAGATTATAGTCCGAATACTTCAAATCCTTAGTCATCTGATTATTCTTAGTCAAAACCTAAAGTAACTTAACATTGTATCAACAAAAATGAAGTCAATTCAATTGATGAATAAATCGAACTAAGCTGCGTAAGTAAAAATTTCGATGTCTGCAGTAAAATGTATTGAAAATGTAAATCTCTTAAAAGCTCCGACACAATAAATTCCTTATGAAACATCAAGAACATAGGTAGAATCAAAATGAAATCCATATATTTCAGAATTCGGATCCCGATAAACGGCTAGAAGCACGGGAAATAAAGAAACAAAAAACTGTCAGGCTACTGATTACTAACAACATTGCAATCTAAACTTCCTTGCGCATTGTTTTCCATGAATTTTTGCAACTCAAACAACAGATAACGTTGAAAATAAATAAGAAGAGATGCATACCTGGATTGAGGAGGAAGAACAGATATAGAGCTGAGATCGCAGGCCTTGTTTATCTTCAGCCGCATTTGATTGAAACACTCTCCGCGTGAAAACTAAGAAGTCAAAATTCTTCAACTGTTAAATCAGAACTGCAGGCGTGGTTGAGAGCTACAAGAACGATCGCGAATCGCAACCAATAATCGCTGTGCTTGCAGTACAGAACTAAGAATGATTTCCAAGCTTGGAAGGTGTCAAGACTCCAAATGAGAAATCAATTAAAAACAATGGCGGGAAACTTCTCACGTGGTTCCGATTATGGGCCGAATTAGCGGCCCATTTCAACGGGCAGAGATATTCCTTCACAAAGCTTCATAAACGGGTCTAAGCCCAAAATCCGGTCCAAATTCAGCCCATGCTCAAAAACCAAGCATAGCAAGTCAAAGTTTGACCGGCTCGAGCCAATAGATTGGATACGAATAACCATTTTAAAAATTGGACTAACCCATGAGCCGAACCGTGAGCCATATTTGAATCGGTCATTCCAATCAGTGCGAGGCTTTACACGTAGAAGGATATATTGATTGAGCAGCTATTACTGCAATTATAGTTGTATGAATAATGAAATGTTCATCTGGTCAATGGGTAAGAGAACATCAGTTACTTGCAATGAGCTTCTGGGCTTAGTACCACACTGATGTTAGTTCCATTGCCTTCGATCCTATTTATGTTCTAAATTTATGTATCAACATATATCAAATTTAAATTTAAATTTATATTTGTATGTTTAAAATGAATAGGTTAAATAAATAAATGGTGTATATTTAACTAAAATGTTAGATTTAAATTTAATTTTAAATACGGTTAAATTTAAAAATTGATTTTTCATGAGAATTGATTAATATAAAATGAAAAATAAATTATTAGAGTGAAAGATTGGAATTTCTAATTTTTATGGTTATCGAAATTAAAAAAAAAAAAGTATTTAAAACTAAAATATTCTTTTAAAGAAGTCGAAATTCACGATTCCGCGTTGTGGTGGAAAACAGGCGGTAAAATCAAGGTAGTGACGTGGAATTGTGGATCCGAATATTCGAAATTCGGTGGCCCGTAATTGTGTTATGAGATGCCACGTGGCAGCCAACAAATGTCTTGTTTCCTAATTAAAAGCATGCCAACATGCTTAAGTCAAATGATTAAATTAATTAAACCTTTTTTATTTTTAATTACTTATTAATCCAATTTAAAATTTATATTAAAAAATACAAATAACACTTATTAAATAATTAATTCAAACTTCAATTTTATATTTTTAATAAAATTAAAAAATATATTTATTAGTTTTTAGATTTAGACTCCAAATTTTATTTAATTAAAGTTAAATAAATCATTTAGTGTTCAAATATAATCTTGGTACGATAATCAAATATTTTAAAATAAAAAATATATATTATAAATAGTATATAATCACGATAAATTAGTAATAAAAAAATGAATTTAAACGACATGCATAAAATACTACAATAGTATATTTTATTAAATTTAATTAATTATAGTTTATTATTATTAATAATAATAAATTATTTTGAATCGATTAATTATATTTTAAAGTTATGTTATAATAACAATAAATAAGCTAATCAAAATTAGTCTCAATAAATAAATAATTAAAAGTAATTATCTATAATTATTGAAAATAAACTTTTCTAATTTTACTATATTAATTAACTAATTAACTAATTAATAATTTTAGTTAATTAGTAGTTTCCTGGCTTATTAAACTTTTATTTGTAAAAATTAATTAAATATATTATTATTAATTTAGGTCTGTAATTATTTTTAGACATCTTATTTTCATAGATTTAATTTCATAACATCTAATTTTAGAGCAAATTAATCAAATAAAGTAATTCAAAAAATTAAATTATAAAAAATATTCGTATTTTCAAAAATACCTTAGAGAATATAAATGTTAGAATGTTATATGAAAAATTAATGAAAGTGACGTAGAACGACGTGACGATATTCTGCAACCTTCAAACAAGAGAGAATATTTTATAAATAAAGAATTGAGCGATATTTTTTCTATAAAAAAAAAAATGAGGGACTGCTTCCAAATTCAATCCTGTTTGAACTTCAAACAAAATTTGCAGGATCTCTCTCCGTCAGTTCCAGGAATTTTCGCGTTCGAGGAATCGGCGAATCGCGACAAGCGGCAAAGCAGAACGGTGGAGTAGGAAAATGGATGAACATTTGCTTTCGCTTTCCATTCAAACATTGTAAATGCGAGAGCACCATTCTCTTTGTTCTTATCGCGGATTCATTGGCGCCAAAGACAAACGAGCTATTAGGATAGATCACAATTGTCAGCACATGTCTGAAAGGGGTTTTCCCCTTATCTAATTCATAATCTGTTCATTTCTATTCGTGTTTTGACTTTTGAGTCATTTTTTGGGTTAATTTCTTGATTTTTCCAGTCTTACTGAGTTTGTTTTTCTGAAATCGCACTCAGTTTGCCGTACTGGCGCTTTGTTTATGATGGTTGAGTTCATGTTGTTCATGAGCATCATGAAATTGGTGAGAGAGAGAGATAGAGAGAGCCAGAGACGAAGAGAGGGAGGAGTTTGAGAAAAAAAGAAAAAGAAAAAAGAAGATTCGTTGTATGTAACTTTTTTCTGATTAGGATTCCCCACTTTCTTCTACCATTTTTCTTTCAACTGAAGCATTTGGGCGTGGGGGATCCATTTACTAGTTGAACCGGCACAGTTTTAGAGAGGCAAAACGTTGGAGGAATATTCTTGGGTTTAGTTCGTATGGAGTTTTGAAGATTCAGTTTCCTAGAGTTTCTTGTCATGGCGGTTGTCGAGCTGGTCCAATTAATTATGCTGAAGCTTCACCAATTATGATCAGCTCACGCAGAGAGATTGTAGAAGAGCCAGTAAGAGCTATTAGTGAAGATGTAGTTGGTGTTGCTGTTGGGAAAGATGTGAAAGAGTGCTTATCAGTTTTGAGGTATGCACTAAAATCCTCACATGGGAAGAAGATTTGCCTCCTCCATGTTCATGTCCCCGCACAGATGATTCCATTAAGTAAGTCTATGTTTATGAGTAATTTGACTTTTGATTTTGCTTGTTCTATTTCGATTATTAAACTCGTTTTCCTTGTCCAGTGGGAACCAAATTTCCAGCGAACTCATTGCAGAAAGAGGAAGTGAGAGCCTATCATGAGTTTGAGAAGCAAAATTTGCGGAGGATCATGAATGAGTATATTCTATACTGTCTTCAAGAAGGGGTATGCATACATCAGTTTAATTTTCTTATTGGCCTATTTTTATATATTTAGTTAGATTTTCTTTAGTTTTGGAAAATGGGTTAGTAAAAATGATATTCAACCTTTTATTTATGGGATCTCACATCGGCTAGAGAGGGGAACGAAACATTCCTTATAAGGGTGTGAAAAATCTCTCTCTAGTAGACGCATTTTAAAACTGTGAGGCCGACGGTAATATATAACGGGCAAAAGCGAACGATATCTGCTAGCAGTGAGCTTGAGCTGTTACAAATAGTATCAGAGCCAGACACCGGGCAGTGTGCCAGCGAGGATGTTGTCCCCAAGAGGGTGGATTGTGAGATCCCACATCGGTTGGAGAGGGGAACGAAGCATTCCATATAAGGGTGTGGAATCCTCTCCCTAGTAGGCGCGTTTTAAAACTGTGAGGTCGACGACGATATATAATGGGTCAAAGCGGACAATATCTGCTAGCGGTGGGCTTGGGCTGTTACATGTTTCATCCCTAGCTTTATGTGCATCATTAATTTGTTTTTATTTCTATAGCTCCTTACTATGTTCTCATTGTAAAATTATACAGGTTCAAGCTGAGAGATTATGTGCTGAAGCTGAGAGTATCGAAAAGGGAATAGTTGATATGATTTCCCTGCACGGTATTAAAAAGCTTGTTATGGGAGCAGCTGTAGACAAGTGCTATTCGAGGTGCAAATCTATTCCTTGCCATTTTCATATTGATATACACCCATAGAGATCTCCAACTGTAACTTTTTTTTTGTTGGACGTCGTTAACAGTGACGAGCACCATATTACAGCCCTAGATTTATCTTTACAATGCGAGTTTTGCTGCTTTTGCGGGCACGGATATGTTAAGGCTAAATTGTTAAATATAATTTTTTTGCAAAGAATGCATTGAGAAGAATCTTTTGTATCACTTATATAAAGAGTTTTTCACCAACGTGTGCTGAAGAATTTAGGCATGTATAACAAATGATATAGAAATTGTAAAGCGTGTTTCAGCTACATACATTGAAGAATTTTAGGCATGCATATATATGTGTTTGTGTGTGTATGCATATGTGAAGAGTGTTTCACCTGTTGCAATCGTCGTTCAGGTTGGCTGGTGATGCCTTTAGTTGGTTATAGAAATGCGAGCTTATTAACATCAATTCTTTTAAAGTTTCGATTTTTTGTTGTTTTGGTTGCTATTGTTAACATTTAAATTAATATTGCTAACATAATGATGAATATTTTAGGAGAATGGTGGATCTGAAGTCTAAGAAAGCCTTTTATGTGCGCTCACAGGCACTTGCTTCTTGTCACATTGAGTTTATCTGCAAGGGGAACCTCATCTGCACCAGGTTAATTGCTGCTTAGTGCTTTGCAGATTTACTTAGCTAATTGGACCTACTAAGATGCATGTTTTTACCCATAACTACATCGATCATTCTTATTCCCACGGTATGGTTGATGTTTTTATCAAAAGATTTTGCATGAAATTGCTTGGGAGTTTGCTTCACAGAGTCTATCTTGAAGTTTGTTAAAATCTTAGACTTGGTAATCTGATTGATGGGAGTACCAGGGAGGGTAGAACGGATGGAGCTCAAGTAGAAGCTGCAGGTACATCGCCACAAACAAGTCCAGACGCTGAGGCCCTGGAAATTTCCCACTGCAGATCTCAGTCACTTCCATTGGAGCAGGTTAACAGCAGGGAAGTCGGGAGTCCATCTTCGGATTTACGTTTTAGAGGGAGATCATTGCTTGTTGACCATTTTAGAGAGAGCATAATAGATCCTTCTCCTTCTCCAAATATTATGAACGGGGTTCGAACTGCAAGAAGCTTGGACGTTAATGAGACTTTTGACAAATTGAGTTTATTGGAAAGGAGAAGTCCATATGAAAGGTCAGACAATTCCTTACGCTCTCCTCGTGGTGTGATTGACATGGCTCCTTCTCCACTTTCCAGGGTCGAGTTATGTGAAAATGGGCTGGAGGTAACTATATTTCTTGAACTTTAAGTATACATGTAATTTAATTCTTCTCAATGCAATGGACGCACCGGAATATGATCTGGGAAACTAATTATTGTAGAGTTTCCGGGGACATATTGAATTGACTTCTTGCTGCTACAGGGTAAGAAAGAGGGTTTCGGATTTAATACCGATATTTTAGCAACAAATCCTAATTTCTAGTCACCTAATGAAAAGCAATCTGAGCTTGACTCTCTACTTGGCGATGCATTTTTATTATTATTGTTTATCCACCCTCTTTAAGCCCAAGTAAAACAGCAAACCGAATTTACTCCAATTTTAGCAGGATGGGAAAACCAGTGATTACCTTTACAATCAATATGAACGGGTGATGATGGAGGCTACAAACGCAAGGCGTGACGCATTTTTAGAGGCAATTGCGCGTAGAAAATCTGAGAAAGAGGCCGTTAATGCTCTATGCAAGGTGAGATTGATATATTGCCTAAAATCATTTATGTTTCGAATTTTGAAGTTGATTTATGATTACAAGTTCATAACAATTTTGATACTTTAAAGACAAAAATGCTTTCGCTTTTGATGCATTAGACACATTTCTGCCAAGTATTCTTATCATGTCATTAAATACAATTCAACGATCCAAGTTTTTGTTCATTCTCGGGATTACGAGTATAATGCAAAGAGTGGGGCCTACTGTTTTCCTTTGGAAGTGTAATTTATCGTTTCAAACGTGTTACGCTAGTCTACGAAATCGGTATAATCCTAACATATTTAGGTTTTGCACGATAATCATACAGGTTAAAGCTGCAGAAGGGTTACATGCTGAAGAACTGAAACAAAGGAAGGAGGTTGAACAAGAACTAGCAAGGGAAAAGGCTAAACTTGAAAGCATAAAGAAGCAACTAAATGAAGAGATGGAAGAGGTCCGGATAGCTCAAGATCAGAAGGCAAGCCTTGAGAGAGAACTTTTGGAATCTGATCTGACGGTGAAGGAGTTGGAGCAAAGGATTCTTTCTGCTGTTGAATTGTTACAAAGTTACAAAAGAGAGCGAGAGGAGTTGCGGATTCAACGCGACAGTGCACTTAAGGAAGCAGAGGAGCTTAGAAAAAATCAGCTCGCAGGCACGATCCTTCCACAGTTCTTTACGGAGTTTCCGTTTCGGGAGATCGAGGAAGCTACTAGAAACTTCAATCCCTCCCTGAAGATCGGAGAAGGGGGATATGGGAGCATATATAAAGGCTTCTTGCGCCATACCATGGTGGCTATAAAAATCCTACATTCTGATAGCTCTCAAGGCCCCTCTGAATTTCAACAAGAGGTGAATCATTTCTTTTAAATCTTTCTTCATTTTCTGTTTAATTGGTATGAATAATTTGTATTGATGTGATTTTTTATTTATTCGGATTTTTATTTTGTCGGTCTGTCTTTTGGTATTATCAGGTTAATGTTTTAAGTAAGATGAGACATCCCAATCTTGTCACACTCATTGGAGCTTGTCCCGAAGCTTGGGTTCTCGTCTACGAATACCTCTGTAACGGAAGCCTCGAGGATAAGCTCAGCTGCAAGAACAATACTCCACCTTTACCTTGGCAAGCACGAATACGCATCGCCACTGAGTTATGCTCGGCCATTATGTTTCTTCATTCAAGTAAGCCCCACAGCATCATTCATGGTGACTTGAAACCTGCAAATGTATTACTTGATGCTAACTTTGTATGCAAGCTTGGTGACTTTGGAATTTGTCGCTTATTGTCTCGGGATGAAACGCCGAACGACAATGAAACACTTGTTTGGAGAACTGACAATCCCAAGGGAACTTTTCCTTACATGGATCCTGATTATCTTTCATCTGGAGAGCTAACGACGAAGTCAGATGTTTATTCGTTCGGGATTATACTGTTACGATTGTTAACTGGTAGATCTGCAATAGGGATATCAAAGGAAGTCCAATATGCAGTGGGAAATGGAAAGTTAAAATCCATTTTGGATCCTTTAGCGGGAGATTGGCCATTCGTGCAGGCTGAACAGCTCGCTCGATTGGCCTTGAGGTGTTGTGATATGAACCGAAAGAGTCGCCCCGATCTCATTACTGATGTCTGGAGGGTGCTTGGACCAATGAGAGCTTCCTGTGGGGGCCTATTGTCCATCCAACTCGGTTCGTCCGAACACTTGCAACCTCCCCCTTACTTTATCTGTCCCATATTTCAGGTAACAGTCCACATCTTTGCTCGTTTGAGGTTCGATCTTGTACTGGTTTTTTCGAACTGAAAGTCTCCAATCTCGGCTTGGTTTTTTTCCCACAGGAAGTCATGCTGGATCCACATGTGGCTGCAGATGGTTTTACGTACGAAGCAGAGGCGGCGAGAGGATGGCTAGACAGTGGACATGATACTTCGCCAATGACGAATCTTAGGCTCGAGCACCGCAACCTTGTCCCCAACCGTGCTCTTCGTTCGGCTATACAGGAATGGCTCCAAAGGAACTGAAACACTCCCATTCTCCTTCATTTTCCTCTTAATATTTTGTGTCTATAATAGCCTATAAGTTCATGTGGATACGTTGAAGTTCCCATCTGTTTGTATATTTGTGATATAGAGAACATGAAGCTGCGTGCCATTTGTATATAACAATGCATTGATTTTGATTCTTACACTTCTAAAACGTGTTTATTTTTATTCTTACACTTCTAGAATTGTGAACCTTAAAGGTGTAGTCAAAAGTGACTAAAGTGTCGAACCAAAGATGTACTTTGTTTGAGCGCTCCAGAAAAAGGAGTCAAGCCTCGATTAAGGGGAGATTATAATATACTTTATTCGAGAGGAGGATTGTTATGATTATTATTGAGAGTGAGTCCCACGTGAGTTAATTTAGTGGAAAATCATGAGTTTACAAGTGAGAAATACTATTACCAATCGTATGAAGCCTTTTGGGGAAGTCTAAAGTAAAGCTACGAGAGCTTATTCTCAAAGTGGACAATTAATCCGTGTCGATATTGTTTATATGAAAATTGAACTAATTTATAAAAAAGAATTATACACATTATAGAAAAAAAACGAAAAATATAAAATTTGTGAAGCCGTTGAATTAAAACTTTTTGTCACATCAAAAAAAGCTGAAATAATTTAAAATTGGATAAAAAAAAAAAGAAAGGTGGCAATTGACAAATGAGTCGTGATAGAGGAGAATTCGTTCAAGTCAAATTGTACAGAGTGTCTCTAGCGTAAGGGTATTTTCGTCTTTTCCAATAGTAGTACGGCCCGCCATAACGCGGAGGGTGATCCGCCACGTGTCCATCTCTCAATCCCTTAATTTTGTCACTTCACAACAAAATTCTTCCCGCTTGTTGAGAGGAGAGATAGAAATAGAAAGAATATGGGATATTATGAATCTCTAAATCAGAAGCAATTGCTTATCTTCTACAGTTCGAAGAACGTCAGAAAAACTTGCAGGCTACAGCTGAGGGACGGATTTACTGATAATCTTTTGCCATAACTTTAATCATGCGCTTTGTTCTTCATCAACAACAGTGTTTTTCTTGAATTTGAGCGCTTAGTGGAGCTTTTTTCTGTTCAAAATGGCCATCGGCAGTTTGGTTTCTAATCGGAACTTCGGTTCCTTTGTTGGTTCAGGTATTGTCCTGTTATTCTCGTCTTATTTTGGATGCTTCTTATTCGATATTGAATTTCTTGTGCTTCCTGCTTGATGCGTTCTGTGTATACTCTGTAATGAAAACTCGTTCGCTGTTGTACCTGCGTTTTCGTACCGTAATGTTCTTCCGCATTTCAGTTACTCGAGGTTTTATCTGGAGTTAATGGCGTCGGGAAGTGATTCGTATGTAGTGGAATGGAGCGAGGCTTAATTTCGGCGCAATTTTTTTGTTAACTGAGAACGTTTTCTGCGAAAATTTGTTTTCTGTATATTTTTCTTTTAGATAGTTCTTCTTAATTCAGTCATTTTGAATTTCAGAGGTGATGCGCTTTATGGTATGTAAGTTCATCCATGGCTAATTTTTTTGTATATGATAATAAAGGAGTGTTTTATGTTTTTTTTTTTTTTTGGACAAATGTTACTATTTATTCGCACTTTCTGATTGTCTATCTATATTTGGTTGCATCAACCTTGTTATTGAGGTTCCCAAATTAATCGATTATTTATGGAGGAAGTGTTCTGACGTTGTGCACTACCTTTCCGAAAATAATGTCTGTTAAATCTTCGCGTTAAAGTCTGATTATGCTGTACTTTTCTGCTCTTAACATTTTTTTTAAACCAATTATCATTAGTCCTGATAGTGATTAATTCTCTCTTTCTTTAATTTTAGTTTGAAGCTTTTCAATGGCCGTTAAGAAAACTCATTTCATTGTCCGCTCTTATGTTTGCAGGAAAACTGTGCAAGATAGAGAAAACAGTTTCTCACTCCGCAGTAGAACGTTCAGTAATTTTTGCAGCTCAATATGGAAAATCGAATATGTTTTTTAGGAAGTCACATGGTTTGAGATTAAGTAATTGTTCTCTTAAGATCTCATGTTCCACATTTCTTCATGCAATGACCCAAGATGGGAAAATCTTGAAGCCACCGGGAGTTTGTACAGATAAAACTGTTGGACGAAGATTGCCTTTTGTCCAAAGCACCATCAGTTGGTCAAGAGGAAAATCCAGATGTTATCCTCACTGCACTGCAGCTTACATTCTTACGAGTGGACCTATTTGGCTGCAATGTCAAAACTTTCGGCATGTTAAGGTCAACCAAACTTCTGCTCATTACAAGTCAAATGACTTTGATATAACGAAAGGAGATGTGGATGCATTGGCATGGGCAGAGGGGTCAGGTGATGCACTTTTTATCGAAGGCAATGACCAGATAGTATCACCTTGGTGGGATCGTTTTCCCAAACGCTGGGTGATTGTGATGCTTTGTTTTTTCGCCTTTCTACTCTGCAATATGGATCGTGTGAGTACTATTCCTTTCTCTTCTCTTCCTATTGACACTTATCTTGAATCCAAGTCATTTGTTAACTTTAGTGTTTAAAGGCTTGCTTGATCTGTTTAGATGGTGACTATAGTAGTCTGTCAATTAAAACACGCGATACATTTCTGTTTGCAGAAAAAATGGCATCCTTAAAAATGAGCAACCTTACAATTTCTCTTCAATATGTCAATAACTCAGTTCTACTATCTGTCTTCAATATACTGTCATAAATAATATCAATTCACTTTACTGTGAGCTAAATGTGTAAACAAATTTCTATAGGTGAACATGAGTATTGCCATACTCCCAATGTCAAAAGAATTTAATTGGAACAGTGCAACAGTTGGCTTGATCCAGTCATCCTTTTTCTGGGGCTACCTTCTAACACAGGTTTGATTAGATTTGATCAACCCAAAATTTCTCCTGATATAACTAACTTTTCTGTCAAATATAATGTGTGTATTTTTATTGGTTAGATCGTTGGGGGGATATGGGCAGACAAAATTGGTGGGAAGCTTGTGTTGGGTTTTGGAGTAGTATGGTGGTCGATAGCTACTATATTGACACCAATTGCTGCGAGAATTGGGCTTCCTTTCCTGCTTATGATGCGTGCTTTCATGGGAATTGGTGAGGTAGGCTTTTTGTACTTCTCTACTTTTGTTCATGTGTTCAACTAATATATCATGATCTGATCATCATGAGTAGCACTGTCTGTTATTTTATTTTATTTTTCTTCCCGAACTCGTTTTGGCGTCAGCTGGCTCACATTATCTCAGAGAATTACTCTGAACTACGACTGTTTTTGAGTTTACACCTGATAGAACTGTTTATTTGTGTTATGTGTCTCCTTTGCAGGGTGTTGCTATGCCAGCAATGAACAATATTATATCAAAGTGGATTCCCGTATCAGAGAGAAGCAGATCGCTTGCACTGGTGTACAGTGGCATGTATCTGGGTTCTGTAACGGGCTTGGCTTTCTCACCAGTGCTAATTGACAAATTTGGATGGGCATCTGTGTTTTACTCATTTGGATCTCTCGGAAGTATATGGTTTGCACTGTGGCTGACAAAAGTAATTTTCACTTCTGCGTTTAAATTATAATTTTAACCCTGCGTATTAAAATAGAAATTTAAACATGCAAGTCAATAGTTCTCCACTCCACTAGAGAAAATCAAATTTATGCAGCCATCATGAAGAGAAGATCCAAGCAATGAGAAAAGAAGTATGCTGAGTTATTATTACATTAATGGCCAGTCATGGGCATAATGCATAGTTGAAAGAAATTAGGTATTAGTAAAAAGATAGAAACGTTGAGTTGCACGTGCTCTTTTCATGTTATTTTGTTGAATCAAGTTTCTATCTTCGACCTTCTCATTCTGTTATATTGTCAGGCGTATAGTTCTCCAAAAGAAGATCCAGGTCTCAGTGCAAAGGAAAAGAAAATTATCTTTGATGGAAGCATTTCGAAGGAACGAGTGGAAGTTATTCCGTGGAAATTAATTTTATCAAAAGCACCTGTGTGGGCTCTTATAATCTCCCATTTCTGCCATAACTGGGGAACCTTCATTCTGTTGACATGGATGCCCACATACTATAACCAGGTAATTCAGGGTTCAGCATTGAGCTCTAGGTTATTCTATTCTTGCATCTCAACATAGCAAAAAACAACTCTAGAAGTGAATAATCAAATCGCAAGTCTTCGTTCATAATTTTGGTGCATGACTGATGTACCTAAATAGCTTTACCCCGTGTGCCTATAATAAACTCGTTCCAGACTCCAGCATATTGTACGGTTGAAGGTTTTTCATTGTCTTTGTGATAATTATGTGAAGGATGATTGTTAGTTCAGCATTCAGACATAGACATTTGAAGGTTTCTATTGAACTGTTGGTTGCTGTCTCAGGTTTTGAAGTTCAACCTCACTGAATCTGGACTCTTATGTGTTCTGCCATGGTTGACCATGGCAGTTTTTGCAAATATAGGAGGATGGATTGCAGACACGCTAGTCAGCAGAGGTTTTTCCATCACTAGAGTTCGAAAGGCAAGTTTCTTTCCTAATAGCCATACCACAATTAACTTGAATATCTATTCTACATAAATTTCACAGAATAATCTGTTTCAAATTGACGAATGTAGTACAAGAATGCACTTCATTTTGCCCACTGCTTACAACTGCATGAACGATATTTTCACCTTCTACGGTTTAATTGGTTCCTACAGGTCATAAAATGCAGGGATTCTAGCCTAGTTCACTCAGGTTTATTAAGGAACTTTTATGTTCTTATGGTAAATAATCACAGTGGAGTGTTTTTGGATACAGATCATGCAATCTATTGGATTTCTGGGACCAGCCTTCTTCCTTACTCTGCTGAGCCGCGTTAGAACACCTGCTATGGCAGTGTTATGCATGGCATGCTGTCAGGTATTCGCATTTTCTTAAATAGAAAATAAATTATCTTAAACTTAGATCGATTATGCACATACATACATGTAAATACAAATTACATGAACAGTTAGCATTAGCTGATCAAGAAGATTACATGAAAAGGACAAGATCCCACACCTTCCACATGCCCCTAGATATACCATAAAACTTTCTGGCATTCCTTTGTTTCACAATTCACCAAAAGAAAATATCTCATGGCTTTGCTTTTAGTTTCTACAAAAGTCCTCATCCTAATGAAAATGTACTCTTTGCTTATAAACCTATGATCAACTCCTTAATTACTCTATGTGGGACTCCTCTCTGAACACTTGCCAACCATTTTTCTTTTAACAAGAAATAACTTTTCATTGATAAATGAAATGACAGATAATCTTATAACCCATCCTGAGCAGTACACACCAAATAAGGTCAAAATAGGACTACGATTCGACCCTTTTCGATCCTAAGCCTAGGAACCATGCAATATCCAAGTTTTTGATAGAGTTGAATTTTTTTCCCTTCCATCCTTAATTCTCATATAGACCCTGTTGCAATTATTATGTTCGGTTTGATTTATAAACTTCTGTTGACAGGGATCTGATGCATTTTCACAATCTGGTCTCTACTCCAATCACCAAGATATTGGACCACGATATGCTGTGAGTTAACAAACTACTGTTAAATCTGAATCATTTTACCTCGTATATCTGCAATATTATTGTCCCTGAATTCTTAAACATGTGGCGAGATGCATGATCATGACCTATTTAGCATTTTGATAATGATTAATCATTCTAGTTGCCTTTCATACACAGGGAGTATTGTTAGGATTATCAAACACCGCCGGGGTGCTCGCCGGTGTCTTCGGTACAGCTGCAACCGGATACATTCTCCAACAAGGTTAGTTGGAGAACGTTCTATTATTCCTTTTATTCTTCCAAGTTCTTTTTTAAATTTTAAATGAGGAAATGACATGCCTCCTCAAAGAAAATAAAAATAGGTTTATAATCATTTAAGCTCCATTTCAAAACTATTTTATTAAAAAAGTATATTTGTTACTAGTAATATTTTCACCATTGTTACAAATATATTTGAATTTTAAGTCAAATTTAAAAATAGAATTAATGTTTTTAAAACTATATTTTAGATTTAAACTTTTGGTATGATTTTATGTAACATTTTTATTAGTAATAAAGTTTTAAAAAATTATAATTAGAAGTATTGTTTATAAGTTTAATTAGAAAATAATTATCAATTAAATATGTGATTAAAACTTGGTAAAAGTTCAGGACTAAAACTTATGTTTTAAAAAAAAAAAACTGAATTGAAATTGAATGGAATTGTATTGTGGGGATGGGTGCAGGTTCATGGGACGATGTATTCAAGGTGGCAGTTGCATTGTATATCATAGGCACATTAGTGTGGAATATTTTTGCAACGGGAGAAAAAATTATCGATTGAGACGACGGAGGATCTGTCTGTGCCTAAATTTTATGGAGAAAAAAAAGAGGTAAGTTTGAGCAACAAGAAAATCCCACCCTAAACCCTATCAATTTTTCTTTTTCCATGGCTGCCTCTCATGGCCACAGCTCTCTGGGTTGCCTCCAAAAAGGTAAAGACCAAAAGAATAAAAAGGAACCACATACAAATTATCCCCCCTCTTTTCACTTTTTCTTCTTATATATAGTGTTTGTTCTCAATTTCCCATTTATAGCGTTGGCATAAAAATACATGACCAGTAGAAAGCCAATTCCGTTCACTAATTCCATTATTGTTTCTCATACTTTCATTATTACGGTTTAGTTGAATACGACTCTCTATAATAGTATGATACTGTCCACTTTAAGCATAAGTTCTCATGACTTTGCTTTAGTCTTCTCCAAAAAGTCTCATACCAATGGGAGAGTATTGATATATGAGACTTTTATTCAACAATTACTATTTTGCTTTGGCCTTCTCCAAAAAGTCTCATGCCAATAAGAGAGTATTGATTTATGGGACTTTCATCCAACCGTTACTATCCTTTCTATCCAAAAAAAAAAAAAAAAATAGTAATGAAAACTGACTATATTTCTTCAAAAGAAAAATGCTAAATTTTAAAATATATATGAACTTATTAAAAATATCTCAAAAAATATATAGTTTAGAAAAATGAACCAACCGACTAGCTCAAATCGACCAAACCGATTAGATAAGATTTAATTGATTTTTTTGGATGACTCCTAAGTAATAAATGCATAAGAAAATTAGATGAAGAAAATGACCCTATGCAGTGAGCTATAAACGTGTCATTTTTTTTTATCTCATTTGCAGGACAGTTAGCGACAAGGTCTGAAATAAAATGTGACCTAAAAATGAGTCCATAGGGATAGGGAGGTTGACCTTCCAAACTTACATTTCATCCATCCAATTGATTAAGCTAATGTACAATGCAATATAGTACTATACCACCAAGATTAAATATTAATTTAAATAATCAAACTCCAATATGTTCCCCTGCAATATAGTACTATACCACCAAGATTAAATATTAATTTAAATAATCAAACTCCAATATGTTCCCCGAAGTACTTGTGTCAAGTTTGCAAGACGGCCAAAGACACTCAACCATTCAAACTACCAACAAACCTCTTTCTTTCTTTCATTCTGTTTCCTCCTTTTCTACAGTTATCGTCATCATCTTATAACTCATAACCTCTTTCTTTCTTTCATTCTGTTTCCTCCTTTTCTACAGTTATCGTCATCATCTTATAACTCATTGGGGCTGGACTTGATCGACGAACCGCGTCGTTGGGCTCCCACGATCACATCTTTAAGCCGAGCTATTGGTCCCAACACTCGGTTTGTCTTCTGCAATTGTAGCAGTGTAATGAAAATTAAGGCCAGAAGACAGCAACATGAAAAGGGAAGAAAACATTCTTCTAAATGGGGATGAGAGTATGTGAGTATATATAATACCTACAGACCAGCGTGTAGCCAAGTAATGTTTATCGCAAATAATAATGTTAATGGGGGAAGCAACCAACAAGTAGTTTTTCAACCACTATCTCAAAAATTTAATCAGAAAATGTATTGCATTGCTACGAACACGAGGAGAATTGAAACAAGTTGTTAATAAACGTGCCTTGATGGCGCGGCCCGTGTGTGGTTGCAAGTCAAGAAGTCAAACCTAAGAACTAAAAAATTTAACATGGATTTCTGCATATATTTCCTCAACGGTTGCAAAGACGAGGCTTGGAAAATAGAGAGCATGATAAGAAGCTGGCTTTATAACCCATAGAATGAGTTCCCTTATTAGAATTAGAATTAGCTATTCAAAACGGTTAGTATTCAACAAAAATATGGCCATCATAGGTTGGCCTAATGGTCATAAAGGTCTGAAGGAAATAAAATGAAAAGAGTTTAATCCCCAGCCATTGCCTACCTAGAGTTTAATATGCTATGTATTTCTTATCAACCAAATGTAGTAGGGTCAGTTGTATTTCCTATCAACCAAATGTAGTATATCCTATGTATTTCCTATCGACCAAAGGAAATGAAATGAAAATATGTAAACAACTTGGCTCAGACGACGCTCACCAATATAATTAAAAAAAAAAAAAGATGAGTTCCCCTCAGAACTAGAATTAACTATTCAAAACAATTAGTATCCAACAAAACTTCAACCATCATGGACTTGACCTAGTGGTCACAGAGAAATAAAAGGGAACGAGTTTAATCAATGGTGGAAATCCTAGGTGTTTCATATCAACCAACGTAGTAGTAGAGTTTGAATGTTGTCTCGTAAAATTAGTCAAGATGCATATAACCTAGCAGACACTCATCGATATATATAAAAGAAAATGTATTCAACAAAACTGTTAGTATTAATGAGTTCCCCTTATCAGAATTAGAATTAGCTATTCAAAACGCTTAGTATTCAACAGAACATTCTGAGTTGACCTAGTGATCAAAAGGGCCTCGGGGAAATAAGAGGGAATGAGTTAATCCATGGTGGTTCTCAACCAAGGATTTAATATCTTACGCATTTCCTACAACCAAATGTATTATAGTGAAACAAGAATTACTCAAGATGCTGCTAGACAACAGCACTCGCCATTATAAAAAAAAAAAGTACTCAACAAAACTGCTAGCATTAATGAGTTCCCCTGACAGAATAAGGGTTAGCTATTCAAATTGGTTAGTATTCAACAAAACTCGATTACCTTGATGGAAGGTCCCCGAATTTCTCCCACCAATTTGCTCATTCATATTGTTTCTACTTGTAAAATTTAAGCTTGGCAGTTCAACATCAAGCCAAAGCAGCAGTTTCTTCTTCTTAGAAATTAACAGCTAGCAGGCTAAGTAGCAATTCTCAGAATTTAATCTCCTATTTGGGTGATGGATGTCAACTAAGTTTAATCATCCTAAACAAATAATCTATTTTCACTAGATCTTAGTTGTCAGTACCATTGCGTTTGTTGAGATTGAACTTAAATCTCATTCTCAATTCATTCTACAGACTGAAATCTGAAAACTTAAAATTCAGTGACAAATATATGCACACAGAATGATAATGAAGCAGCTGTGAATTTACGGAATGCAACCATACGGAGGAAACAAGAATCAACATACCTGATCATTCACACTAATGTGCCACTTCAGTTGCAGAGATTGCCAACTCTCCTGCTGCCAACGCTGCCCAAGTATTACAAGTCCCATAACAGCTGCTGCAATGAAAATGGACCAAAATGCATTCGCTTTTTTCGCATGAGAGTATAAACTAGCAGATCTTCTCTTCCACCAAGCACCACAAGGAAGACTGGACTTATTGCTCTTACTATTGAGTCTAGGAGTTTCTGAGATTTCTGGAGTTGAGACTTGATCAGTAGGTTCAGGTGGAGGGATTTCACCAAATGTCGTTGAACTGAGATCACTTTCAGCATGAAAAGAACTATATGTAGGGGCACCAAAGAGGTCCTGCTCCTTGTGAACCAGATTCAAATCTTGTAATGTGGTATTTTCACCAAAATCATCACCATGAAAAGACAACTTGCTGCCTTTCTCTGTAGTTTTATCAATCCCTGAAAACTCATCGGTTTCACCCAACCCTTCTAAATTCAAGCTATCTTCAGACTTCCCATCAGATTTCCCGCCATCTGTTCCAATGGCAAATTCTCGTGCTGACTTGGTGGAAATACAAAGTGCTTAGACATAAAAAGAGCGTGGGAAGTTTCTGCTTCATACAAATTGCTTTTATTTTCATCACTCTGTTCATCTTCCTTCGCACTAGGAGCAGCTTCATATGCCGAAGCAGTGAGTGAAACAACTTCCCATTCAGTTCCACGAGAGGTAGTGTCTTCTCCATCATTATCTGCCATCCTAAGGGAGTCCTCGTGTGCTGGAACCTCCCAACAACTGGCAAAGGAAAACATATCTTCTTAACAGCTCGATTAAAAGGAAGAAGGTAGGAAAGAAAAAGAAAAAGAAAAAGAAAAAAAAAAACATGCTCCAGATGCAATTTCAACTGTGCGACAATCTATCTTCCTGAGAATTTTAGACCTAAGTAACAAGTCGCATCCGTAACTTCCAACTCGATAAACGGAAACAGAACAATAAAACAAACAAGAAGGTAACTCCCCTCGTGCAACATCAATTCGACGAGTCATCAACACATCCCGAATATCCCTCTAATTTACAACAAGTTTTCACAATCAAATCACATAACAAGGATTTAAACCTGCAAAAGTATAAATTAAAAATCTAACCGCAGCTGCACATACGCACACATAATCGTATATTTAGGTCGTAGAATCATCCATTCAATGATTCAAAAGCAAACAACAAACAACAAACGGATCTAACATCGTACCAATAGGCAACAAAGAACAACACCGATCAAACCACAAGACATACCCGATAATCCATCAAACAAACCAAAAATCGACAATCAACCACAAAACTTCTCGATCCAACAATGAAAGACGAAAAAGGAAACAATCAATAATTGCAGATAACAGTAGCAGAAGAGACGAACCGGACGAGAGAGAGGCGATCGGAGATTCGCGACGAACGGCGACGACGTGACGATAAGGATGAAAGTTGCCTCGGGAAATGGTGAAGGGATTGGGACTGAGACGTTAATGTTTGGTGTAAACTAATAATCTCCGCCAAATCAATGATGGAAACCGGCGGTTACCGGTGACAATTAGATTTGCAAAGCAGATAGCCTAACCGCTCTAGCAGGTTGAGTTTGTCGCCCTTCGCCTATTTTTAGTTTTTTTAAAAATCAATTTATAATATTTTTACAAATTTATATTTCTATTCCTTCCCTTTTCATAAATAATTTAGATACTCAATTTAAAATTTTTAATTTTCAAAAAATATTTAGATATTCGATTTGAAGATCATTCAGTATTTTAAAATTATAATTTTTTAAAAAATATTCAGATATTCTTTTTGAAAATCATACGTCTAATTGATTTAGAGTATTAAGAATCTAATTTAATTATAAATTTAATCATATTTGAACTAACTATTTTTAAAATTAAATTTAATAGATATAAATTAGTATTATTATGGGATAAATTATACCCAATATATTTTATAATATTCTAAAAATATAATAAATCTAAAAAATTTTAAAATTATGTTAAAGAAATTATTAAGTATTGAGTAGGTACTAAACTTTAAAAAATTATGGGTAATAGATAATTAAACATAACTATAAAAAAAAATTGAATTCTTTTAGATAAAATTTTAAAATATTAAATAAGTAAAATATTTATTAGACGATAAATTAAAATTTTGAATATTAACCTATCATTAAACATATATTATTGATGAAGAGATTAAATGTACAAATATAAACTATTAACGAGATTACGTTTGTATTAAATAAAATATAGTTTGATGATTTTGTTTTAAAAATTATTTTTGTTTTTTCTTCACTTCCTACCATGAATTTTATCGTATTTAAAATTTTTTTAATGTTTTAAAAATTAATGTTCTTATTTCTTTAAAATTAAAATTATAGTTTACCTATGAATTTTTGTGTTTTATTATCTGCATTTTGTATATGTTTTAAAAAATAAAATTAAGTATTGAAAACTATATATACATTAAAATAATAATAATAATAAAATATATGTTTGCTTTTAAAATTTTACTATGAATTGGAATATTTTACTAAGAAAAAATAAAAAATATTTATTGAGAAATAATAAAAAGAATAAGCACAATTTTGGTTATCTTTTTAAATTTTAAAACCCTAACTTAGATTTTTAAAATATGAATAAATAATATTAATAGGCTTAATTTTTAACATGAAAAATTAATTAATTATTTTTTAAAAATTGTTTTCTCATCGATTGTTTACATTGTGTTTCACATCTCTTAACCCCTAAACAGCTGAGTTTTTTTAAATAATAAATTACATTCTAAAACGGTTTAATTTGCTCATAATTTACTAACGAATTTGATTTTCCCCCTTTCTCATGCTTACCCAATCCTCCAATTCCATTCTCTAAAAAAATATATAATAATAATAATAATAATAATAATAATAATAATAATAATAATAATAATAATAATAAACAATTCAAAACAATATGGTAGCTGATTATTAAGAAAAGAGAAAAAACCAAAAACACCAAAACAAACATTCGTACCTGAAACCGTCTATCATTCATTTGACATGCTAAAACTACCCTGCTTTTCAAACTGCCCTCTACTTTTCTATTTAACAATATATGTATGTATGTATGTATGTATATGTATGTATGTATATGTATGTATGTATATATGTTTATGTAGATATGTATATATGTATAGATGTATATGCATATATGTATATATGTATATGTATATATGTATACATATAAATGTTGTTTTCAAATTTGTTATATTCTAATCCTTCTACTTAGGATGTCAAAATTGGTATCTACTATAGGTTAGTTTGCACGGACTAAAATGGAATGAGACCTAATAATACATCGACCAAAATAATATCTAAAAATCAAATACCCGAACAAAAAAAGAAGCCCAAATACAGGGACTGGAGAGCAAAATCCTAGAGTCCCCAGGGGTCTATGGACAATAATTCCCATGTAAGAAGGGGCAAGAACTTATTTTTGTAGTAATTTCCATTCAATTGCTACAACAAGATTGAAAAGCTATAACAGATTAACAAATCCAAAAATCCCAGTTTGAAAGTTGAAGATTGATACCATATTGGTTCTATAATTCTTGATGCAATGGCTCGGTATCTTCTGAAGGATTGGTGTCATCAGCTTTGTTCTTATCCTTTTGGAGCATCTCAATGACTTCCTCAACAGGAGGGTCTCCAGGTCTTCGAAATGCTTGCTCCCCAATTTTGATCTCGTACGATTCGGGATGGTTAAACACAAACTCCTTCAACTGAATGAACATTTAAACAAAAAATGTTGAGAAACAAGAACTGGATTTCAAAAGATGTTCTCCTGTTATGGAAGATATGATGAGGAACTCCCTGCCATTTTTACAAAGAATGAACTGTTTTTTTCTACTCAGAGTTTGTTTGATGGGTGGATTTCTGAAAGTGAAAACAGAGAACAGCCTAGAACGAATTTGATCAAAACTAGGTATGAGGAATCATGTTCTTGGTAATACATTTTCATTTTTGTTAGTTTTTTGAACCATTAATTTGAGCCATGAACAATGAGAAACACTAAAACTTTGCATATGGAAAGAGTAAATTTAGGAGGAAAAACATGTAAGAACAATAACAAAAGGCGTTTCCACTGATATTCTAATGTGATTTTTTCTCATGGGATAAAAATACATTTCTAGAATTGTCATCTCATCGATAATTTGTTAGAAAACCGTCACATTGTGGCTGACAGATTTGAACCAGCCACAATGTAGCAGCCTCCTAATCTGTTCATCTCATTATGCCTATCCAATCTATCTGGGACGGTTATGATAATGCAGAAACAATATCAGGAGTTCACAAAATTTAAGATCGAACTTCAATGACAAAATTAAAATGATCCAAGACTGTTGGACTTGAACTACATGATTGGAATTGGGTTTAGGCTTTTGATTGGATCCCATAAAAAAGCCAAATCTGGGTGTCAAAAATATTTTTCAGGCGAATTGGAGAGCAATTGAGGAGTTTCAGTTCCAGAATCGGGTAATTAAAGTGTACCTCATCCAAGTCTTGTCCTCTGTCCACTGTGAACATGAGTGTACTGAGGTCTACCGCCATAAATTTTGCCTCGATTGATCCAGTTTTCAGAATTCTCGTCCATTGCATTGCAATCGTAGCCACCATCTCCTGAAATCAATCAATAGTGATAAATGCTGGTAAAACATGTTCATGTGAAGACGTTAGTCTCCGAATTTTTCAATTAGGAGCTGTATACGCGTTCAATTAACAGAAAATACAAAACAATCGAGATTTTCAAGGTTTTCTCGTTTCAACTTTAGCATCCGTTTACATAAACTCCCTGTCGCAAAATCCAGATTCGACATGCATTCGAATTCAAAAATCATTTCATCAAATAAACCGGAAACAATTTGACCAGCAGCGGTTAAATCGTCCATAACTTTCCGGAATCGAATTAACATCTCAGTAAGGGAGATTGGCAAAATTTCTTACCGGAGTCCGACGAACGCCGAGCCGAAGCTTCACAAATCCCATAGTTGGACCAGATTGCCGCTTCATCATCTCAGCCTGGATCTCCGGAAGCTCCATCTTGGATAAATCGGGCGGCGGGAGGTCGAAATCGCTAGAGGCAGACTTTTTCTTGCCCCATTCCTTCCAAGATTCGTCCTCTTCATCGTCAACCACGTCGTCGAGATCATCTGTAATTTGGATTCTCCTTTGTCCACCTTCTGCGAAGCGATTGAATCCGACATCCTTGAAAATGCCGGCGGTGAGGACGATCAGAAAGAAGACTGGTAGAAGAGATGAAGGTGAGAAGCAAATTCTCATGGTTTCTGTCTTTCTGAGAAATGGCGAAGGCGACGGTTGCGAGTCTGAGAAAAATAAAATACAAATAAAAAAAATTTAAATGAATTTCAGAAATATTTAATTTAACAAAAAAAGCCGCGCAATAATTTTCTGCGTTGATTATTTTATTTTATTTTGTTTTTTCGATGGAATGTTTGATTTAAAAAGACAATAAATAAATAAATAAATAAATAAACGCGTGAAATTCACTTATTTTTCATTTTTGTTTATTTAAAATCAAATATGGTTTTTTAAAAATTTAAAATCAAATATGGAGGATACAAAAATTTAAACCTACCATTTTATTTATTTAAAATCAAATATGGTTTTTTAAAAGTAAATATAATTTTATATCTATTTACAATATAAATTATTTACGAAAATTTTCGAAAAATATAGATTATCAAACTATGTAAATGAACAATTATAGAGATTAAATTATAATTTTATTTTTAAAAGTGACCCATTTAGTTTTTTTTATAAAATTTAAACATAAATAATTTCTATAAATTTAAGTTGAGATTACGATAAAAAAAAAACTAAAATAAATATTTTAAATAAAAAATAAAATGGTAAAGTTTATAGAGAAAAAAAAAAAAAAAATAATGGGCTATTGGCTATGAAGTGTAAAAACAAAAAGGGACAGTATCGTAAATAAGAGAGGTAGAAGGGGTAAATTATTAAGCATTAATAGGGATAGTATCGTAAATAGGAGAAGTAAGAGGGGCAAAGTTGTAATAAGGACGAACTGTGAAAATGGAACTGCAGCGACTAGCCCCAGACTCAAAACCACATTCTTCGCGTAAAGCCATAAACTCCGTTACCGTCGGGGAGGTAGAGAGAGATTTAAAAATCGGAAAAAGGGAAAGAATTTTTAACGCTTGTGGGAAATTGCAAAATTGCGTGCAATCACTGATTGCGTCAACTGAGCTTCACTGGTTGAGCCCTAAGTCCGATCCGGTTGGCCATTTTCCAAAAATCTAGCTTTAGAGGGAGAGAGAGAGAGGGAGATTTTTTTTTTTTTTTTTTTTTTTTTTTTTTTTTTTT